TTGCTATTCAGACTTTGAACTCGATTTCTGACATCTCAGCCATCTGTTTATGGATGGGGTCTTCAGTTGCATCTGCCACATCCTTCCTTGGGGGGGGGGTTGATCTACTCTGGTTATTCATATTACCGGAGCTTTTGTACTGATACCACCCCATGATTATATTACCCTCTTTGGCTTTTCCCCTTGAGCTTTGTCAAGAACCTGCATGGTGTTATTGCCTTAGCGACTGGGGCCTGCTTCATGTGGTGGGACTAAGTAGCTCTGTCTTATTTTCAGCTGTTCTCTGTCCTACCCTAGTCATCAGTTACTCTTGGTTGAAGTCTCTGCTGTGGATAAATACCATCAATTAAGTTGCTTCACCCCCAACAACAACAATTGGGCAAGGAAAATCAAACCTTCCCTCAACCATACACCCAGGGTGCCACTTTGGATAGTCCTTGTGTGATTTTCCCAGTTCAAGGGGTCCAAATCAGTTGTCCCAGTCAGCACCAGTCTCAGGTGGGAGAGTTCAAAAAGTCTCCAGCAACTAGATAGGAGGTGTCTGCTGGTAACTGAGATATGACTCACTCTAGTACTCTGTAAGGGCAGAAAGACACACCCAGCAAATGAATTAGTCTGGGAAAGTTGCTGCTTTTTTACCCACTTTGCACCCAGTCACTGGTAATCCCACAGGGCTGTGACCCAGTTCATTCCATTGAGCAACTGCTCCCAGGGTTTATGACTGCCTGAGTCACCAGGAGATCTAAGTCCTGCTGGAGACCTTGGGTGTTTAAAGTATAGGCTGGGGCAGTTCACTCAGTTCCAGCCCCACTCCTGGTTGAAGTTGCTAGCATAAGAGGAAAGCAACTTCACAGAATTTGTTTCTGTCCTGGCTAAATTCCTCTGCAGTTCAGAGGCTGCTAGAGCTGATAAAAAAAAAAAAAACTCATCCCTGGGCAACAAGCAATTAGAGTTTACACTCAAGTGTCAAATCCAGCCTCTGCCTGCCCACTGCCTTTGTCTCAGCTATAATCCCCTGAAGGCTGGGTGCTATTAGGCTCAGTGAAGCATTCTTTTGTCTAACCCATCCCTGGAAGTCTGTGGGCTCTGTGCTCACTCCGCCCAGGTGAGTGCCACCCTTAGGACTTGTCTTTACTCACAGAACTTCCCAAGTCCACTCTGCCAAAATGCCAGCTTCCTCTGGTTGCCCAGGAAGACAGGTTGTGTCTGTCTGGAATGGCCTTAGGAGTGTGTGCTGCTGCAGCTGCCACTCTGCAACTCAGGATACTGCAGTTCCTGTGTGGTTGCCTCTCAGCTGACTTTCTTCCTCACTCCCATGCCACAGAATCAGCACAGACCAGCACCAGGTCTTTCCCCCTCCACACCTCTCTAGAAAATGCCCAAGAATCTGAACTCCATGGGTGACAGAACTCCAGACCTCAGGGTAAGAGTGGAGGGGAGTCCTGGGAATTCAAAGTTGCAGGTAGAGAATATATACAGTTTTATGCAATTTTACGGTTTTATGCCAGGCAGCAGAGTGTCATGGCCCTCTGGTAGGGGTAGAAGTTCCAGGTTTAGAGGGTCTCTCCTGAGGTATTGAGTGGGAGGACATTAGAATTCTGCTTGTTTGTTTGTTTGGAGTAAACTGTGAGCCCTTCTTGTGGGGGATGGAACTCCCATCCACTTAGTGGTGGATTTTGTACCTTTTGATTGTATTTTTGGAGTTGCAGCTCACCTCAGCAAAGTTGTTGTGTGTTCCTCAATCTTCTCTCTTGGCTCAGCTCCAAACCATTGGCTTACTTGCTAAACTTCTGTCCTTTAAATCTCTTTCTGGACAGGAGCCTCTGTGGAAAGCTGGCTACAGTCCGCCATCTTACCTCCACCTCAGTGGACTAAGAATTTAATATAAACATTTATCATTGCCTATTAAGTTTTACCTTTTGAGACTTGGTATGGGGGGCTCATGCCTGTCATCTCAGTTCTTTGGAGGCCAAAGAAGGAGGTTCACTTGAGGCCAGGAGTTTGAGACCAGTGTGGTCCACATAGCAAGAATCTGTCTCCATGGAAAGTTAAAAAAGTAACCAAATATGAGGTCTTTTTTGAGGTCAAGAGTTAAAGACTTTGGTCATCTATAATCATGCCCCTGCAAAGTCCAGTCTCAGTGACACACTGAGACTTTTCCTCAAAAAAAAAAAAAGTAACTCTTTTTTTTTTTTCAAAAATGGAATTCTTCATGAATTTGCATGTCCTCCATGTGCGGGGTCATGGTAATCTTTTCTGTATCTTTCCAACTTTAGTATATGTGCACTGAAGCAAGCACAAAATAGGTAACATTTTGATGTTAATTTGTGTGATGCAGCATTGTGTTTGCAAAAGCACACTGACAACATTATATGAATTCATTTTTAGGCAATACAGTGGGGCCAAGACATTCAGCAGTTGCAGTTGGAGTGACTTTAAATATTTCATTTCCAATGTGGATGCTAGCTGTCTTCAGAATAAACCACAAATGCAGATGAGCAGAGCAGCAATCTGTGGCAATGGCAACATAGAGGGAAATGAAGTCTGTGATTGTGGTTCTGCAGAAGTAAGTGATAACCAAGAAAACTGATGAATAAATTTGTTGTTATAGCAATCCTTTTTGGAAATGGTAGTATACAATTCAATATGACTGAGTACCATGAAGAATATCAACAGTAAGTGAAATCAGTTTAAAATACATAAAGGAAAATTCTGGCTTGGTTTTATAGGTGGAAGAATTTTAAACAGATCTAAGATTTACTGCAAAAGCATTAATAATGTAGAAAAATAGGAGTCTGGAATAAGTTGTTGCATTGCAGACTAAATATACAAGTTCTTCCTAAATCTCTGCTTAACTTTTGGACATTTCTATTTGTCTTATTGAAGACTAATATGTCAGCAACCTTCACATTTCCTTTATGGTATTACTTCACAGTGAAATCAGTAGTACAGTGACAAACACTATGATAATATTGTGATCTTAACACTAGATAATTTTCATAATTCTTGAAATTTGGTTGGTAGGAAAGCCCTGAAAATATAATGAATTTGTCCATAATTCTCTCAGTAAATATTCTGCTTTCTCTCTTTTTTTCTCTCTGATTAACTGCTTGTGTTAGCTCCAGAGCTTTATCCTCTACCTCTGAGATTCTTTCTTCTACATGATCTAATCTGTTATTGCTACTTTCTACTTCATCTTTAAGTTCCCTGATTGACTGCTTCAATTCCTTAAGTTCCACTATATCCTTTCTATAGTTTTTCTATCATTCATGTCTTATTTGATTCTGTTTTTGTATTTACTTTTGATTATTTTCCACTTTCTCAGAAATTTCCTTCATTTTTTTTTTACCATCCATGTTTTTTCTCCATGTTTTAAATGTCCTTTCTGTCATTTCTAAAATTTCTTTATACATGAAATCTTCTGCAGTAGCTACTTCCTAATCTCTTGGTTGGGTTTCTCTGTTCTGATTTTTTCACGTTGCCAGGATGTTTCTGCTGTTTCTTCCTAATGAGCACTTTCCTTTTGTATGTTTCTTTACCCTACTTTTCCCTTTCATTTTCTCCTCCTCTTTGATTTACTTTGTCTCTGTCCTTAGATGTTGAAGTGACACCTTCCAAAAGGAAGAGAAGAGTATAGAGCAAGAAGGGATAAAAGGTAAAAAAGGAGAAAAGAGAAAGGAAAGAGGGGAGTAAAAGGAAATATTGACAAAAAGAAGAGAGAAATAGAGAGAGAGAAAGGAGTAATAACATGTTACTTTGACCCACACCCACAAATCCCAGGCTCTAGGGGCTGGATTGGGTGGGTACCTGGAGGTCAGAAGCTCTTTTTCAGCCTGAAACAATAACAAAAAAGACAGAAAAAGAAAACAAAAGGATATTTATTTTGCATTTTTTCAGTAAAATGTTCTTTAAATTTCTATTAGGTCCATGTTATTATGTTGATATTCAGCCTAGATGTCCTGCCCAATTCTGACAATGGGATATTGAAGTCTTCAACTATTATTTTTGGAGAGTTCTATCTCCCTTTAGATTTAATATTTGCTTTACGTGTCTGAGTGCTCCCATGTGGTATGCATATATGTAATGTTTATAATGGCTATATTCACTTGCTAAATTGATCCCTTCACCATTACCTAATGTCCTTCTTTGTATATAGCTTTTCACTTGAAATATTTCTTGCCTTATTTAAATATCACTCCCCATTCTTGATTTTGGTTTTCATATGCATGACATATGTTTTTCATTTATTCGTTCTCAGTCTATATGTGTCTTTGCAGTCTTGTAGGGTGCAGATAGATTGATTGTGTCTTTTTCCAATTTTTTAAAATCCACTCAGCTAGTCTATATCTTTTAAATTTAATCTACTTATATTCAAGTGTTTCATGGTGTATGTATATGTGTATTCTCAGAGTGATTGATGATCACATAGATTTATTACTTGTTTTTGCAGTTGTGAACTTTTCTGCAATAAAGATACAAGTATCTTTTTGATAGAACAACTTTCTTACAGGTAGATAACTATGTAGTAATGGAAATGTGGATCTAATAGTAGCTATGATTCAGGTTATTTAAGAAATCTCTATACTGTTCTCCATGATGTTCTACTAATTAATATTCCCATCAAATTGTGTACATATTCCCTTTCCACCACATCTGTGCAACATTTGTTGTTTTTATGATTGTTTAATAATGACCATTCTGATGAGGTAAGGTGTTACCTCGCTGTGGTTCGAATTTTCATTTCCCTGACGATTATTGATATTGAGCATTTTTCATGTTTGTTGACCATTTGTAACTCTTCTTTTTAAAATGTTTATTCAAGTCTTTTGCCGGATTTTTGATCAGGTCATTTTTTTATTTTTTTATTTTTTTTTTAGAGACAGAGTCTCACTTTGTCATTCTCAGTATAGTGCCATGGCATCACAGCTCATAGCAACCTCCAGCTCTTGAGCTAGGGTGATTCTCTTGCCTCAGCCTCCCGAGTTGCTGGGTCTATAGGCACCCACCACAGCGCCAAGCTATTTTGCAACTGCTGTTATAGCTGGCTGGGGCAGAGTTCGAACTTGCCACCCTCGGTATATGGGACTGGCACCCTAGCCACTGAGCCACAGGTGCTGATGAGGTTATTTTTTATTTATTTTTTATTTTTATTTTTGCTGAATTCTTTGAGTTTCTTGTAGCTTTTAGCTAATAGTTCTTTGCAAAATGTATAGTTTTTAATATCTTTTCCTATTCTATTTGCTGGCCATTCACTCCATTGTTTTAGTTTAATTAGTCACAAATGCCAATTTTTTAAATTGCATTTTCTTTGGGAGTTCAATCATACATTCTTTGCATAAGCCAATGTTGAGAATCATATCATCAGCAGAAGATAATTTTGCTTTCTCTTTTTCAATGTGGATGTCCTTTATTTCTTTCTCTTGCATAATTGCTCTGACTAGATCTTCCAGGACTATGTTGAATAGAAGTGGTGAAAGTGGACATCTTTGTCTTCTTCTAATTCCTAGGGGGAACTGATTCAACTCTTTAGTTTCCATTTCTGGAAGTGTTTCTTTCCACCCATTTACCTTGAGTCTATAAGAATATTTACAAGTTAAATGAGTTCCTTAGGCCACAAACAGTGGATTGTGTTTTTATGCATTCTGCAAGTTTTTTAAGTGCAGGGATGTTTATGTCATTTATATTCAATGTTAATATTGATAGGTGAGGTGTTGTTGAGTCAGCATATTGATTACTACCTAGGTTCATTGTATTTTTATTTATGCTACTATTTTATAATAGCTGTGAGCTTTTTCTTTCAAATATTTTGGTACTCGTGAATATCATCCTTTCTTTAGATACTTGAATTCCTTTGAGCACTCATTGTAGGACTGATCTAGTGTTGAGAAATTTCCTTTACATCTGCTTATCTGTGGAATACTTCATTTCTACTTCATTTATGAAACTTATTTTTAATGAATAAAAAGTTCTTGAGTGAAAGTTAATTTGTTTATGAAGACCAAATACAGGAACCAAGCCTTCTGGCTTGTAAGGTTTCTGGTGAGCATTTTGTTATTTAGTCAGATAGGTTTTTCTTTGTAAATTACTTGATTTTTTCATCTCGTTGCTTGTAGGAGTTCCTCCTTCATGTTGCCTTGGTCAAGTGTGATGACTTTGTGTCTCGCTGAAGTCCTTTGTGTAATAAATGTCAAAGAGGTTAATTGAACTTATTGTATTATTGGAGCTTTATAGTTTTCCTTGTAGAAGTCTTTTTACTTCATTGGCCAAAAATTTTCTGAGGGATATATTTTTTTAATTTTTGTAGCTATTATAAATAGGATTGCTGCATTTTTTCTTCATTCACTGTTAACTATATACACACACACAACATACAAAACTTGGTCATATATGTACATTACATATATTTGTATGTTTGTTACATATTCTGCAATGCTATTTACATTGTTTATCAGTAGTAATAGTTTTTGATGGAATCATTTACTTTTTCAATATAAAATAGCATGTCATCTGAAAACAAGGATAGTCTGATTTCTTTTTTTATATCTTGGATAACCTTTATTTCCTTCTCTTACCAAATTACTCTGGCTAGAAATTCCATACTATGCAGAATAAGAATGATAAAAGTAGGCATCCTTGTCTTATTCAATATCTTAAAGTCTTTCAGTTTTGTTCTGTTAAGTATTATGTTAGCTGTGGTGTATCTTATATAGCTTCCATTATTTTGAGGGATATTTTCTTCTATACCTAGTTTTTTGAGAGTTCTTATCCTAAATGAATATGGAATTTTGTCAAATTATTTTTTAGCATTTATTTAAATTATCATTTTCTTTTTGACTTTGACTCTCTTAATGCAATTTATCACATTTAATGATTTGTATATCTTGAACTATTCTTGAAACCCTTGGATCAATCTCATTTGATCATGAGGAATGATCTTTTTAATAGACTGCTGTGTTTGATTTGGTAAGATATTGAGGATTTTTGCATCTATATTTACTGGAGATATTGGCAATTACTTTTCTTTTGTTTATTGTGCCCTTAACTGGTGTTGGTATAGGGGTGAGTTTAGCCTCATAGATTAAATTTGGAAGTATTTCTTCATCTTCGATTTTTTGGAATAGTTTTAATAAAATTGGTATTACTTATTTAAATATTTGGAAGAATTCATTATTAAAGATATCAGGTCTTGGATTTTTCTTTAATGGGAGACTTTCTATTACTACTTTGATCTCTGATCTCATTACTTGCTATTGATCTATACAGGTTTTATGTTTCTTCATGGTATAATCTTCAGAGGTT